GTACCGTACATGGGAAACTAAGTAAACAAAACAACTAACAAGAACTTATTTCTAGAGCATCCTAGTGGGCATAGCCTTTGCCTTTCCGCCACCCTATAGTAGAAATAGTAATCGAAGAGTAGTTCGTGGCAGTAAAAGCTGGCAACACATACTCACACTGAGACAATAATATGAGGTGGGTGGTGCTAGGGATAACACCACTTGACATGGGCACTTGGGCATACATGTCAAACCGGGCATCGGATTTTGGTCCTGTTAGGTATTCCCTACCCCTAACAATCCGATCCCCGACTCACCGATGAAGGCCTTAATTTTGTGATTTTCTGTGAACAGAAATAATGATTCTTTTCCAACACTTCCAATTCCTGAACAAAACAAGGCTACCACCCAACCTTGTCCTAAATTTTCCTATTCTGAAGTGAGCAGTTTTGGACATGCACTATTCTGCTGAGCAGGTTTGGGAGTGCTGCGTTAGGTCGAGTAGTATGAAAAGAACTTTGTGCGACACCACGGCTCGAGCCTCTTGATCAGCGATTAACCATAAGGCTGGTGTCAGGGACCGTCGCACGAATCGCAATAATCGCAAGTGCCCCATTTGAACAATCAAAACCTTGAATAAACGAACAAATGGGCAGAGCGTGCGTAAATTAGCCAGTAGTGCATTATTCCAATTTATAGGGAAAGGTAAATGGCAGAAAGCCTGTCTGTTGAAGATGTCTGCGCAGTCTGTTCTAGAGGAAATGAATATACCTACGATTTCGGAAGACGAGAAGAAAATCGAGTGCAGACCACACACCATAAGAGACGACGGCCAAAAGAAGCCGCTTTTCTCTTGGCCGTCGTCTCTTATGATGTGTGGTCTGCACTCGATTTTCTTCTCGTCTTCCGAAATAGAGTATAGTTTTTTTATGGCCACAACCTACAAGATAAAAAACAAAACTACGTTCTATGGGAGACCAACCGACAGGTGTGTCGGAGTAATTGTTCAAAAACCAAATTACCATCGTATGGCCAGCTTCTCTTCTTCAGGAACTTTGTAAGAGTCTCCTTGTTTCGATAGACCAAAATCGGAAATTTTAACGATGTTGTTTTTCTCGTCGATGAGACAATTGCGGCATGCCACATCTCTTAAGGCAAGTTGGTGAACGGCATATGTTTCTTTCTTAATTGCCAACAAAACTAAACGATTCACTGACCTATGCATACACCTTTTACTGTGCAAGTATACCAAGCCAAACGCTACGTTGGCTGCGTAAAATGTTTTCATTTGTGGATGAATCTAAAATAGATGGAATGTGCTCTGAAAACCTGATTACGTTTCAGAATGACTGAAAATGTACATTAGGATTTTTTTGTAGATAGTGATCAAGACCTCCACCATTAATCAGTTCCATTACGATCATCACACGATCAGCACTTTCGTTAACTACGCCATGAAAGGCAACCACGTGTCTGTAATTATGCAAAAGATAATTGGTGAAAGACAGACTCCACAGCATTCTCGAACTCCTCTCTTGCAATCTCGGCATCAGTTATTCTTGTATGTGTATGTTGTATGTGCCATACGAGGTTGATAGGTGGAACGTTTATTGAATGGGCCTAACGTTTCGACAATCGTCATCCTTAGAGGCCTAAATGGTGGTTCAGGGTTGATGTTTACACTCTACTCCAAATGCTGGGGAGCACTGCCATGCAACGGAGCATTAGAAGAGCACAGCTGCAGAGCGATGTTCAGCTAATTAAAATACCATACCAAAACGGAGGAGCAAGCTTGTTCGAAACAGGCTCTATGATAGGCACTGTGTGTCAGACGATTGTGTTATTTGCCCATTTGGCGTTAGCCCACTCGTATTAAGGCAGGAAATTGTGCGTATAGAGGAGCGATCTACAAATTTGAGTGCCAAGCTTGTAATCCAACTTATATTGAAGAAACAGGAAGGGTGTTAGCCACTCAGATCAAAGATCACCCGGCTAACATGAGACGCGGTAATCTTTCAACAGCCCCTGAGAGGCACAAGAATGAAAAGCACAATGGCATTGAATTCCAAATAAAGTGTACAATGTTAGCCATGCAACGGAAAGTGTTGCTAAAAAAAGCTTCAGAAGCATTCTGGCCAGCGATGAAGAAGCGATGAACAAGTGAGGTGAGCGCCCTTCGACGACAAACGCAAGTGTACTAATATCGAGATACGATAGCATTTCTTACTGACGAACGTCAGTGTGTGGTTGCGCAATACGCGCGCAAACGATGAAGCCCTGTGTGAGTTTACTACCACACTTGGTTAGTATGTTTCTCTGTGGAACTTTGACGGAACGTCGGAACCGCTAGAGCGGATAGGGCGCTTGGTGGAGTAGAATGTAAATCTCAACCTTGAACCACATTTAGGCCTCTGAAGACGACGATTTGTCGAAACGTTAGGCCGATTCAATAAACGTTCCACCTATCAACCTCGTACGGCACATACAACAAATACAAACAAGTATCAAGAGCTTTTTTCATTTCAGCGATTGGGAGCAATTGCAGCATTAGTTGGTATGGGAAGGGGAGGGGGTAAATGAGAGCAAGGTTATCTAAAATTGTTGCAGAGTCAATTTTTTATGTATTCTTCTAAAAACTTCAAAGTTTCAGCAAGAAAATCAGTTACTGAGGAGATGCCTCCATTGCTATACTTCGTTGTTGCTACTTTCTTTTGTTTCTTTTTGTTTGTTCTTCTTTCATTTTGTTTGTTGTTTTATTTTTCTTGATTCCTTCGTTTTTCACGTGTAACTACTCTACAAACTGGGTATGTTCACAAAGTGTTCTCTTCTTGGAGTAGTTGAATCTACGTGGACTCTGTTCTCGTCAACCGATAGAGATAAGGTTTTTTCAGAGCAACAACGCAATTTCGAAGAGTCTTCAAAAGAAACAGTGACATGTCACTAGTGGGAACGGATTACGTGGCTACTTGGACATTCCTACTTTCGCGAGAGACTAGAGTGCAGGCGAATGGATGTTTCAGCTTCGAACATTACGAGCAGGAAAATCCATCAACTAGGGGAATGTAGTATCTAAGGGGTGCTGGATGAGAAGCCACTTGACGTGAAGCAAAAGCTGGAACGTGAGAGGTTACAATAGTGAGTGTCACACTCCGCCACCGCGATTGCGCGGCATGCAATAGCCTCAAGTGCATGCTTTGCCTCCAGTCCCGCCTTCAGCCGGCATTCTTGAAAGCACGGGTCGGGGTCGAATTGTTGTGCTAATTTGTTTGAAAAGACATGACAGACAAGAATTGCGGGAACGTTAGTGAAGAGAAAAAGCGAAAGTGCCACAGGAAACACTGTGTGGTATAACGGAGCACACTGTAGTCGAGAGAGCGCGGACCGCGATTGGTAGAGTGACAGCACCGGCAGCTGACAAAATGCCTTAGCGCCTTTGCTGTGCACTTTAAGCAGCGGCATCATCGCGGCTCCTGGGCTCAGAGACCAATCTTCGCACTCTAGGAGGGATTACCTGTTAGTACCACTTCGTTCCCTCCGGAAGGAGCGGTGCGCGGGGGAACGTGAGGAAGCCGAACGGCTTGGAGTAGCAGTGGCAATCGGCAGCATGGTCGAGCATGCTGCTCCGTCGAGTAAGAATGCTGGCACGTCAGCGTTTGCCACACTCGACGGACGGCTGCAGGCTTTCAGGATCTGAAGAGTGCCCCTCGCCGTCGATGGACGACACCTACAGAGTCTCTCCAAATGTAGGGGCAGGCGTGTCAACGGAAGTGACGTGCACTTGATAGAACTTGCGTGGACAAACTGATGCCAACTTTTCGGATATCGAGTATACAACGAGTATACAACATCTCCAGGCCAACTAGGCTGATGACGACGTAGGACGAAGTGGAAGATTACCGCCAATAAAAGTGTGTCCAAATGCAGCATGTCATTAAGGTTTTGAGCTGGTTCACGCTGGGCGACTAAGTGCGCATATTATTGTGGCGTGCCTGTTATTATTATATAGGTTGCAACTAAGAGAAAGAAGCTTGCGTTGCCTTTCCGAGAAGCCGTGCGGCGGCTATCCTCTCTATTGCGGGTTCGTCATCTCCTGTCTCAGTCCCTTAGTTTAGGAACCCGTAAATGGCCAAGAGGGGCTTGGAGGGTGCAACTAGCTCTATCACGACGAGCGCAGGATGCTCGTGGCTGGTACGGCCACGAGTAGCACTTCGCTTCGTGATGGGGTTAGAAGGTGCTGATTCAACCGCACACTCTTGCTGTAATGGTCGCCTGCCTTTCATTTTTTCCGGTAAGATATTTCATGGAATTTACCACAGAGATAACGGGCTTGCGGCCGTCAAGCGTAACAAGGCTGGCCAGCAGCAGGCTTCCGTGACGAATGACGATCAGAAAACTTTAGTATAATCTAGTTTTTTTTTCAGTATCATTTTTTCGCTCACGGTAATCTTTCCAATATTTTGACTTGCTCTTCCATTCATTCTTCCAAGGTAACCTGCTACTTCTGCACTTCTCAACTTCAACTTGCATTATCTTAAGCAATTGAGACTAGTGGGAAAAAACCTGTGCTTATACTGTCGCATCATACGAGCTTCTCGATGCATGTCATCAATCTTTGCCTTGTTCTCTTCGCATAATTTTGTCTGGAATGATGCAGTTAATTTCTTAGCCTCACTGATCGTCTCAATGCATTAAGTAGAATAGGGCGTCTCATTAGCACCACATCCCACTGAACCCTCATGTGCTGTTGTATTAGTAATGTGCATTTTCTATGATGCAGTCAAACTTTGCAGGAGAAATAAGGTTAGAAACGCTCGTATCCATTATGTTTCATAGTAGAGTCTATTTATTTGCTTATTTATTTACCAGGTTTGCTCCGCCCGCTATCGCGCGCATCAAAGGGTAGGGAGGAACCACGGACCACCTCACTATTGAATGTGTTATACCTCCTTATACCCCTTCTCTCCAGCGCATAGCAGCACCATGTTCCCCCTCTCTTTGCCCTCTCCCCACTCCTCCTCCTCTCTACTCCCCTCCCCTTCTGGTTCCCCCTCCCCTCTACTGCCCGCCGGCTCCGGCTGCCACGGCAGCACCATGTAGAATGAGGTGTGTGCTCGTTCGGTGTGGGTGTTATCACAATCACCACATCAGGTTAGAATAATACGTCAACATGAATATAGACCTTACTCTTGAAAACGGTCGTTCTCTCTCAGTCTCTCCTCCCCCACCTCCCCCCTCCTTATACCCTCCTCTCCGGCGCATGACAGCGCCATGTTCTCCCTCCCTTTCTCCTCTCCCCTTCCCTCCCTCTTTCTCTCTCCCTCTCCCTCCAGCCCCCTCCCCCCCCCCGCTCATCCGGCTGCCACGGCAGCACCATGTAGAATGAGACTGAGTGTGCTCGATC